GCCTATTGAGAGAAACCTTTAGCCACCTAGCGAGCCTTCTTCCTCTCCTCAGAACCATCAAAGTGAAGTTTGACCTTAAAAACCCATCGACATGACACGGGTTTCTTATGTGCAGGTAAGGGGCTTACAGTCCATGTATTATTGGATACAAGAGCCTGATACTCATCATCCATAGCTTTACACCATTCAGAATGTGTGGATGCCTCAACATAGGAATGAGGCTCATATATAGAAGACAAGGCTAAAGTGTACCGTCTCTGAGCAGGGGACAACTTGGTATAATCCAGATAATCACCAATAGAATATTGCTTGCCAAGGCCAGAATCCTTGCTCAAAGTAGAACCTTTCTCCACAGATACTGACTTAGGGATAGACAACTGAGAGATAAGACTGCAATGGTAGTACTGTAAATAAGAAGGAACACGTTTAGGCCTAGTAGATTTGCATGAGAGAGGTGGAGAAGAATAGGAAGAGGCAGAAGGATTAAGAGGAGAAGGTGAATTATCAGGTAAAATTGCAGTATCGAGTTTTTGAGGAATATCAGGATAAAGGAAAGGTTGAACAGAGAAAAGAGAAGGATTAGAATTGAAAGTGGAATCAGATGTAGATAAAGAATGAAGAAGAGAGTTGTGATGAAAAGGAAAAAATTTCTCATGAAATATAACATCTCGTGATACGAATATAGAACTGGTCTTCGTGTTGTAAAGTTTATATGCTTTCATGCCATGGGGATAACCAAGAAATATGCAAGGTATAGCTCGAGGATCAAATTTGGTTCGATTTCGTTTAAGAGTAGAAGCATAACAAAGACAACCAAATACCCTAAGATGGATATATGAGGGGATAGCCTGATGAAGCATTTCATATGGTGATTTGTCGGCAAGAATCAGAGTGGGCATTTTGTTAATGATATATGTGGCTGTTAAAACACAATCCCCCCAAAATTGATGCGGAAGGTTTGCCTGAAATTTAAGAGCCCTGGCTACATTGAGTAATGCTGATGTTTTCTCTCGACAACACCGTTTTGTTGTGGTGTATCAACACAACTCAACTGATGAATTATACCCTTTTCTAGGTAAAAATCAGTCATATGGAATTCAAGTCCATTGTCAGATCGTATGGTTTTAATGCTAGACTGAAAGTGTGTCTGGATGAGTTGATAAAAGGATTGTATGATGGACCCAGTTTGAGCTTTATCACGCATTAAGTAAGTCCAGGTCATTCTAGTGAAATCATCCACAATGGTAAGGAAGTACTTGGAGCCATCTAAAGAGGGAATGGAGTACGCTCCCCAAATGTCACAATGAATGAGATCAAACATTTTTGAAGTCTTGGTTTCACTGAGTGGAAATTGCAGCCTGCGTTGTTTGGCCATAGGGCATATACTACAATGTAAATTTTTGTTGATATTGATGGTAGGAATAATTCTCTGTAACACAGATAATTTTGACGCAGGAACATGTCCTAAGCGACAATGCCAGATATCAATGTCAGAGATGAAATTGGAATTATTCAAAGAACTACAAGCAATGTAATGTGCTTTATTACAACTCAAAGAGGGAATAAGGTGTTCAGAAGAAAAAACAGCAGAACTAGAAGGAACTGATTTAACATTCAGAAGAGTTTTAAGTTGTTGCAGCTGAGGTTGAAGTGAAGGCTGAAGTATAGACTGAGTATGAAGCTGATGACCAGAATGTTGAAAGTGATACAGTCCACTCTCAAGATGCCCTATCCCAATCGTCTTCCATGTCGAAAGATCCTGAATAAAACAAGAATTATATATGAATAATAGGCAGCAATTGTGTTTAAGTGTCAAATTACTCGCAGAAATTAAGTTGAACTTGAAGCATGGCACAACAAGCACATTAGTTAGCACTAAATCATCAGATAATTTTACAGTGCCAACATGGGTAACTGGAACACTATCACCATTAGGCAATCTCACAGATGCATCAACAGCTGCCATCACAGTAGTCAAACGTGTGACAGAACACACCATATGTTCTGAAGCCCTGTATCAATGATCCACTTATTTCTGATAGCAGAATCATTGAAACTCATACGGTTACCTGAAAAAGCAAAAGCATCAGGAATGGAAGGAGGTGATGCTTCCTAAGATGAATGATTCTGCTGAGTAGAGTGTGCCAACTGATTCTGTAATTTTGGCATCAACACAGAGAGAATTTGCTGACATTGACTTGGAGAGATGGTGAGATGCGAAAGAGATCTCAGCACTTCAGAATTATCTTGTTGAGACATATGCTCAACAGCATTAGTAACAGGCATGTTTCCTTTACTGAATCTGTGACTAGGAGGATATCCTATCAATTTGAAACATCCACTCTTAAGGTGACCTTGCATTCCACAATAACTACATACTGGCCTGTCTTTCCTCTGAAACGAATTGAATCTCTGATTGCCAAATGAAGTAGGCCTTTGATTACTAAATGAAGTTGGCCTTTGATTGTGAAATGGTTTCTGCACCATTTTACTGGCAAGAGCAGCAACATCAAAGGTTTGTTGCTTCTTTGCAATAACTTCTTTCTGCCTTTCCTCTTGCAGAATTAACGCAAAAACCTTGTTCAACGATGGCAATGGATCCATCAATAATATCTGGCTTCTAATAGCCGAAAAATGCTCATCTAATCCCAAAAGGAACTGCATAACCTGATCTTCTCCCCTACTATCAGTGTCAGCAACATTTGGTCTATAGTTATCTAATTCTTCCCAAAGACCTTTGAAACGGTTGAAGTATGAATTTACTGAAGCATTGGCCTGTGAAATTGAAGCAATCTGTTTCTTCAATTCATAAACACGAGGACCATTGCTTTGGCTATAGCGATCCCGAAGTTCGATCCATATCTCCCTTGCCGAATCCTTGTGCATAACGCTAGGATATAACTCTTTTGGAATTGAATTGATAATCCAAGAAGAAACCACATGATTACATCTCCTCCACACACTGTAAATTGGATCCTCGGTACTAGGTCTGATAATAGATCCATCGATAAACCCCTCCTTATTTTTAACGCTGAGTGCCATTGTTGTAGCACGGCTCTATGTAGAATAATTATCCACACCAAGCACAACGGAAATGAGCTGCATCCCTGTGTTATCACCATAGTGAAGATAATAGCGACTACTTGGGGCACTCATCAACCGGCTGACCATGAAAGCATCAGACGCAATAGCTTCCTCAGCTGATGATTCGTTGAATGAATTATTCTGATTTCTAGCCTCTGCCTGAACACTGGAATTCGCCATTTCCAGAAAAGAATTATCGCTCGGATACCATGATAATATGCAGAGGAATTGAAGAAGAACAGGAGGAGGAAAACAATTGTATTTTGAAGAAGATGAAATTCTAATTACAAGCTGGAATTCGTGACCCTATTTATAGACTAACAGAATAAAAGGTAAAAAGACACAAATGACCTCCTGTAAAATATCTACAAAATATCTATAAAAAAATACTTTAATAGAATATGTGTTTGAATAAGAAGAAAAAGTTATTGATGTGATGGAAATTATTATTTTATTGAAAAATTTGTGGTTGAAAATGAGTAGAAGAATGAAATGAGAAAAATAATGTGGCTCAAACAGGGGCCAAATAATAGAAAGTTAGGGTTTGCAAAATCTTGGGATTGGAGAAAAAGATACTTGGTGTAAAATCCGATTCTTTCCTTCACCAAGATTTCAAAATTCGATTATTAACTCTATTCATTGTTGTGTTTCTTTCATTAACATAAGTAGTTGAATCATTAGTTAGATCAAGCAATGTAATCTATGTGTGACTCTTTATTTTAATTTACACGTTTATTATATTAGTTTAATTTCCATATGTTGATTTTATGTACGAACCATTAATTTAGTTATTTATAAATTTGTAATAAATCGAGAAGTAAATGACCACATAATAAAATCCAGTAATTTGATAAAATGTAGAGATACATTGTATGATTAGTACGATCGTTATATGTAATCTTAGAAATTGAACGTGTTTCATTAAGACTCATTCGAATTCACATAAAGATACGATAAATTGATTTAGTTTGATTATTTACGAAGAATTCAACTAAATACTAGAACAAGTATTTAATCTTGCTTTGCGAATTAAATGTGATCACTATATATATTAAAAAAAAAAAAGAATGAGTCGCATCCTTGACGGTCTCCACCTACCCTGTCCTGGACCTTGGTGAAGGAAGTAATGCTGGTTATGCCTCCAAGGATATAGAGTGGAAGACTGCTTCTACATTTGTACTTACTCAAGGGTCAAATCCATATTTCAGGATTCGAACCCTTGACGTGGCAGTCTCAAGTAAAGTTGAAATTTTTCCACCTTCCCCTTTTACTACTTGGAGATGTGCCGTGAGGGCAAATGTGATCACTATATAAATTGTAAGTCGAATGGATTCAAAAGTAGTAGATTTTGAATATGTAATATATTTCACGGGATTCTATATTTCATCCGTGCATTAATCTATTGAGAAATCCACCAAATTACTCTACTTGCACGTACTTTTTAAGAGAGACTCAATATCTGGCGGCCAAAACCTATGGAGAAAATCTCACCAAGTTTTTGCTCATTATGTGGATTCCCCTTTCCAAAGGAAACTACAAATGGACGAGCTGGGTGGTCTTAAGCAGAATCTATTTGACTTTGACAATAAGAGCGATGGGCTATTGGTTTCAGTAAATTAAAAGCTAGATGGGCAATCTGGTACTGAACTTCAAAAAACATGGGTAAATACGACAAGATTAACTGCGCAGAGACAAAGTGAGTGTGCACTCACTGTAATTTCATACTGAAAATAGAAACAAGCCGGAGAGAAAATAACTTCGCTTTGAGTAACCTTCATAGAACTTATACTTTTGTAATAAAACCACCATAAGTTAAAGAGTATTTGTAAAATGATTTAGAAAAAAAAAATATTACAAATTTAGGAGGGCGACATGTGACCTGACCTGACATCCAGCTTAAGAAATACAACGAAACATTAACCAGTCCAGCAGTAGACCGAATAGCGCTTACTTCTTTTTCTTTTGATACTTGGGCGGCGCGGCCGGAGAACACTCCCATCCATCTTTTCACGCTTGTGTTGATGTTGAGAACTATCACCTGGAGATGATTGTTGGTCATCTTGAAAAAATTTCCGAGATTTATTTGAATATGGTGCATCAAAGGAATCGGCTCCTTTCCTCTTAAGATCTTCACTTGCATCACCACTCGATCTATCTGGCTCCAAGATGTCTGAACCACCTCGCAAGGTCCCATTTTCTCTGTTATAATGGAAAATCAGATTTATTCAAGAACGTGACAACGAAACTTGGTTTGTTCCAAAGTTAGCAATTATGAGCATGTTTAACTAAGCTTACGAGACTTATAACTAATTGTTGTCGATTTTCATGTCCCGCAAGTGTACGGATCGTAACAAGTAATATAGTGGACCAATAAGTCTGAATATCGTTCCCACGATTACTACTATATAACAATTGGTTAAATTATTCCTAATTTTAATTTGATCGAAAATAAATAATAATGTTTGTGATTGCTATATAATTATTCTAACTAAACTAAATTTTCTAACATACACAATTTATCAAATTTGAATTTTAAAAGTATGAATGTGGATGTTAAGACTTACAATTTTACCTCTAGATCCCCTGTAATATGCCAATCAAGATTCATTTCTATTGTAGTGTTCGATCGAATTCTCCTAAAGTATTCAATTTACCCCTCTCGAGTTCTTATTGAGTTTATTTAACTAATTCAATTCTATATTCTATGTGAATCAATCTTAGTTAAACGAAATATTAGTTCTTAGAACTCATCTAATGAACGCAATAATTAGTAGAAGTATTTCTACACGTTATACTAAATTGTCGAATTTTACTATGTGGTCTAAATCTAAAATTCACCACTCGATTCATAATATATTCACAAAATCATTGAATAATTGGCCAACAAATTAAAAATATTAAATTCATGAATAAAATCAACACATGTGCATTTAAAGAATTAGAATCTTGAATAAAAAAAAAAAAGGTCACACATAAATTACATTGTTCGCCCTAACTCTTAATTTAGCTATTTATAATAATGAAAGAAAAACAAAAAGTATAAAGTTCATAACTAGATTTTGAAATCTTGATCATGGAAATATTTTGATCTTGCACCAAGAATCTTTTTTAACCTCAAAAGTCTTCAAACCCTAACCTTTTTCTATTTGATCTTGATGATTATGTATTTTTCTCTCCCAATTTGTATGAAACTCCCACCAAAAATGCATTCATTCTTGTATTTATACTTCCCTTCACGTTTTCCCCAAATTTGGAGTCTTTCAGGGCTTTTCAAGATTCAAAACAGTGTAACCCTAAAACAGATAACACAGCACCTAAGCATTGCGATATGATTCTTGATGGCGCCTAGGCGCTACTCTCTGTTCCGAAACTACTACTTCTGGCGTTTTCAGCACCTAGGCTCTAACTTGTTGCTCCAAACTCGTCCCTAGTGTCTTGGCCCCAGTTTGCTATTTATTTTCTATGCATTTTTCAATATTTTTGTTATAAATTTCTCTTCTGATATCCGATTAAGGAAATTCAAAGTGCATTAAAAGATAACTCGAAATGCTACAACTTTGCTAGAGATAGATTTTTTTCCAATTCGAACTTTTACTGTGTCAAAAATGGATCTCAATTTTCAACTAAAAATCTGAAACATACTTGTACGATTGAAAATTGATTTGTAAAAATATTTTGATCATATTTCACTCCTTCTTGACTTCTAATTGCACCTAATTGGCCCTTAGCATTCTTGAATCTTCATCCTAAGGTTTAACACAACTTTTGAGTATTTACATTTTAGTCCCCAAACTTTGGATCTTGCCATTTTTTCAATTCAACTTCCTTTATTGAGTTTCACCTAATAAACGAAATATACAATAAATTAAGCTATAAAATTGTTTAAAAAACTATTAAATGTCTATCTTATTAGGTCTAAATACCAATATAAAATACAATTATCAAACACCCCCAAATTTAAACATTTGCTTGTACTCAAACAAAATCATAACCCAACTTAACATTAAAAGATTTTAGTTAGATAGCCTACCATTTTATCTTAGGATTGGAATTATTGTATTAAATCTATAAACAACTTCAAGGTCGCATTACCAAAATTAATATCTACTTTTTCATTACAAAATTGATGTGTGTGTGTGTGTGTGTGTGTGATGAAAATTAAGTAAAACACTATAGATTTACAAGTTGTTTCAATTTTTGACCCTCGATAGTCAAATTTTTACTTTCATCATTCGTAAGATTCACATATCCCCAAACTTATTCTTTTTTACTCTTTTCCCCAGTGTGTGATCTAAAGCTGAATCTTTATATCAATTCCTCACCCTCTTTAGTTTAGATAGACTTCACTAATTACAAGTCAATACTTCAACAAATAAGGATTTTCCAAAATTTGATTACTTCAACCTCCAAAACTCAATTAGATTAATAATTCTTTGTCAAAGATCTAACTTTCCCAAATAAGTTTTTGAAACTTAATCAAAACTTTTAATACGTAAATACATTATTATTATTATTATTATTATTATTATTATTATTATTATTATTATTATTATTATTAGGGAAAATTGCGGCGCCAGTCCCAAACCTTTCATTTTGGTGCAGATTACACACAAACCTTTAATTTTTTCATCATCATCACCTTCTTCTTCTTCTTTTATGTGCAGATTTCTCTCCATTAAACTTTTTAAATGATCCTTATAGTGAGTTTTAAGTCGAAGACTCTCAAGTTAGATGATCGTAGGGAATCAAATTTTTAGATATCTTTGCAGGTTTAATCATTCGAGTTATAAAGGCTACGAAGAGACGTTTCACATTGAGATAGCTTTTTTTATCTCTTTTCTTTTTTTTTTCTTTTTTTTTTATTTGCCATGATTAGTGTAATGCCACTCATTCTAAAAAAATTGACCTATAACTTAAGATTTTTGCCTAATTTTCATCATATTGGCCATAGATAATTCACACAAGAATTTACACATATGAATTTATCATACATATTCATATCTCCCTATGTTCATGCAAAACCCGTAAGTGTACAAGATCATTGACAAGTAATATAATTAATGAGTTAAGAGTATTGTCCCACAAGGAATAAATTCAATTCAAGTTTACTAGTTTTGTATGAAATTCAAATTATGTAAACAAACAAATTTCATTTTTATAATTATTCTAAATTAATCTAAGATCAAATAATAGATGATTGTATTGGATTTCGAATCCGCCCATTGCTATTTAATTCAATTCTTGATTTGTAATCTAGTTTCGTTTATACGTTATTCAAAATCGATAGAACTATGATATATATTTTTCTTTTCCAAAACAAATTAAATCTAACCTAACCACGACCCAAATCTATTTCTAACCCGAATTCGAACGATTAGAATGCATTAAAATTTAGATTATTTATATGATTGCACACGTGATAAATGTTATTCCTAACATCTATTGCACATATGTTAATTTTGTCGCATTCTAAACTTAATGTAAGTCTCTCAACACTACAACAAACAACTAATTATCTAATTGATGACCAATCAATTAAATAATACAATGGATATGTAAAATTAATCAAAAAAACGTAAGAAATAAATTATATTACTAGTCTTGAATTAAAACAAATAAAAATTAGGGTTCATCAACATCCAATACAAAAATTGATCTAGCATAACATGTTAATCTATAAATTACAAAAATAATAATATAAAAATATCGCCTGAATCATGATAGAATGCAAAAGATGTTGATCTTCAATTCCAAAGTTGAATTTTTCAAAATCTTGATATTATTAACCTTCAATTCCTTGATATGGCATTATCCCATCTCTCAAAATATAGTAATTGGCTCCTTATTCTTGATGAATTTGATAATAATATTTTGTATGAAGAGGCAAGAGAGGGTTTTTTTTTCAATGTGTAGCCCTCACTCTCTATTTATAAGAGTCGAAAAATATGTCAAAATCACATCCAATTTGGATTCAAAAAGAGTTTGATTCGCGAAAGAAAACTACTAATTCAATTGCGAAAATGGCCCTTGCGTGCACAAGCATAACCACTGCTCGCGCCTAGAGCCAAATGGCTCTTGAGTTGGGAAAAATAGGGTACCGTACACGCAGGTTCGTTTCGTTTCGTCCATGAACATTTTTCAATATTTTGGCCATAATGTTCTAGACAGATATCTGATTGAGGTGATTCAAAATGTGTTTAAAAGATAATTCAAATGGCTAAAATTCTTTTAGAAATACATTGTTTCCAATTCGAATGTTTTTCGAAAAATTGGTATCAAGTTGAGGCTAAAAATTCGGAACATAACTTTTTCGACTGAAAATTGATTTGTGAAAATACTTCCATTATATTTCACTCATTTGACATCTAATTGCATCCAAATGATCATATATGATCTTCAATCATCGTTTTATGGTTCAAATCAGCTACTGAATGTTTACACTTTGGTCCCCAAAACTTTGAATTTCCTTTGTTTTCGCATGTTTTTGTTCCTTTCTTCCAGATTCAACAATTTGCATTGAGTTCAACATACAAACATAATTAACACAAAATTAAGTTATAACTCATCCAAAATACTAACAAATAATTTAATTTAATGGTCTATATAAGTGTACAAATTACACCTATCACCCTACAACAGTAAAATCACCCTCAAACTAATATAAATTTGGTCAAATTATGGATATTGTAGTAATTTTTGAGTTTAGCATCTAAGTTCTACTATTTCAACCTATTAAGCATATGAATCAACCAATTTCTTTATAACGCTAAACTTAATTCATGTGCACTGACAGTATCAAATTACATGAATAAGAATCAATTAATCTAAGTTTCCAACATATCCACAATTAATAAATTAATATATAATTGCAAATATATTTGTCGGCAAACTAAAAACTCAATATTTTTTTTCAATTCCCAAATTTAAAGTGGACATTGTCCTCAATGTTTTAAAATCTAGTATAGCATAAATAGGGGGGGGAAGAAATGAATAAGGTACTCCCTAGATTTTCGTATGATATTTAAGGTATCTTGTTGGATAATTTCATTCATTTCTTTTCTAAACTACCTCTTGCTTGATATTCATGGACATTTGAAAAATGAAAGAAGACAAATATAAGCGTTAAGAGATAGTTTAAAAGCAATAATGTGGCGTGTATGATAACCTCTTTTTTTATGTCCCTGGAGCTTTAAAAAATGTGTTACATATCTTTCCTATTGTTTCTGACTCAAATATGTGATTTTCTTTTATTAAACTTAATATCCATATGACGACCCTCTTTATTGAAATAAAAACATGTCTAAAATTAATGCACCTTAATAAACTATATGCAATCTAAATACAGAAAACATAATAAATAAAATGGTGAGAAATTGGATTGCCTCCCAATAAGAGATTAATTTAAAATCTTTAGATAGACTTTAGCATAAGTGCTTCATGGTACTTTGAATATGGCTTTAGAGGTCCTGCTTATCGTGCTCAATTTAACTTTGTTTCATATTTCACAAGTCCTCCAAAATCGTACTCTGCCCTTGGAATACGGTATGCCTTACCTAAATTGCCCAATTCGAACTCAACGAATAATACTTCAATTTCCTCTTCTATTTTAATTACAAAATCAATGAAGATGGAGGTTTGCATGCTAATCCCATTTTCTTTGTATGCCACTAATTCATTTGGCTCATTCATGATTAATGTATTTGTTTTATATGTTTTTTCTTCTTTAGTTGGTCCCTTGGGTTGAATAATGAAGAGATCCTCCATGACATGTTATTTGGCTCATCTAAAATAACTTGATCTTCAATCTATTTATATTTTTGCATAATGATGTCTTCCGTAACTATTCCACGGTCATCATCTTGTTCATATGGATAATTAAATATAACTTTCCTTACTTTATCTAGAGTCGCCAATAACAAGCAATTTTTGTAAGATACAATGCCCCCACAATATTCGCAAGTTGGTTTAATCTCCTCATAAACAATAGATTTGATAATTAGTCCATTCGTAAAGCCATCCTTATCAAATACAATAAGTTGATTGTATTCCCACTTTTTAAGTTCTTGTTTGAAGAGGAACTCTCTAAAGAGTATGTCACCTTCATTTAAGTTGAGATCAATCATTGTTTTCGATTTTTTATGTAGATCAATTGCAAAAAAATCAAACAAAATCAATTAATCATTAAAACCAATATTAAATTAAAATAGTCATCGGCAACTATGCAAATAACTAGTTGTTGATTTTTATATTCCACAAGTATACGGATCGTAACAAATAATATAGTGGATCAATGAGTTCGTATATCGTTCACATGAGGACTACTATCTAACAATTTGTTAAATTATTCCTAACTTTAATTTGATTGAAGACAAATAATAATGTTTGTGATTGCTATCTAATTATTCTAACTAAACTAAATTATTTAACGTATACAATTTATCGAATTTGGATTTTAAAAAATATGAACGTGGATGCCAAGACTTACAATTTTACCTATGAATCATCTTTAATTCGCCAATCAAGTTTCATTACTATTGTAGTGTTCAGTCGAATTCTTCTAAAGTATTTAATTTCTCATCTCGAGTTCTCATTAAGTCTATTTAACTAATTCAATTTTGTATTTATATGTGAATCAATCTTAGTTAAATGAAATCTTGAATTTATTTAACTAATTCAATTCTAAAGTATAACCAGGTTTTGAAATCTTGATCAAGGAAAGAATTAGACCTTACACCAAGAATCTTCTTTAACCTCAAAAATCTTTAAACCCTAGTTTTTACTCTTTGATTTGGATGATTATGTGTTTTTTTTTCCTCTCTCTCAAATTGTGTAGAACTAACTCAAAAGTGCTGACAACTTGTATTTATATCCTTCCCCACATTTGTGTTGAATATAGGGTTTTTATAGGCTTTAAAATAGTTCAAAAACCTAGATACATCCAGACGGCTCCTCGGCACCATAGGAGTGGCTGTAACGACCCGAGTCCCACTTAACGAGCTATTTCGACCGTTATATCGACGACGTATTGTCCACATTGTACCAACATGGGTCTTTTCAGTATGCTTTGTCTCACACACATGCTCCCCAAGAAAACTTCTCAGGGGNGTTTGGTATTGAATTGGAAGACTCATTTTTGAGCTACTTGGTATTTCTGTCTCAAATAGTATATTTTTCAGTTGTGCTGAAATAGCATCAACCTGATTTTTTAGTTCTATGGAATTTTTATGTTGTTCTGTAGTGATATCCAATAATAGTTTTATATTTGAGTTGAATGTGTAACGACCCGGGTCCAAATTAACCGGTTGTCACGGCCGTTAGATCGACGACGTACTGTTCTCACTGTACCAACATGGGTCTTTTCAGCATACTTTATCCTCACTCGCATGCTCCCCAAGAAAACTTTTCAGGGGACCACCCATCATAGAATTGCTTCAAACCAAACACGCTTAATTGTAGAGTTTCTAACGATGGACTTTCGAAAAAGAAGGTGCACATTGTTGGTATGAGTAGTACCTATCAAATCTTTTAAACTTTCCTGGTTTGGGTAGTACTATGGCGTTGCGGCGCCACGAAGGCAGCATAGTGGTGTCTTTCGGGTAAAATTATACATTGTACTTCTTTTAGTATTTTTATCAAAACTTTTTTTCTCGATATCCGATTGAGACAATTCAAATTGGGCTGTGAAGATAATTCAAAAGGATACAACTTTACTAGAAATAGCTATTCACCAATGAAAACTTTTACAAGACCAAAAATGGGTCTCAATCTCCGGCTAAAAATTTAGAATATCTTTGTGCGGTTCAAAATTGATTTGTGAAAATATTTTGGTCATATTTCACTCGTTTTGACTTCTAATTGCATCCAATTGACCTTTAGCATTCTCGAATCTTTATCTTGAGTTTCGACACAACTTTTGAATATTTACACTTTAATCCTCAATTTTCAGATCTTGTCATTTTTTTCGCCAATTTTCACTTCTATCTTTCAAATTCATCTCCTTTCATCTATTTTCACCTTATATACGAAATATACAATAAATTAGATTACAATTGTTAAAAAAAACTTTTAAATGTCTATATTTTTCAGTTCAAATAAGTGTATAAAATACACTTATTTGAAGACATCTTTTTGGAATGGTTGGTGTTTTAAGTTTGTTTGTAGAGCTCTTGTAATGTGGGGGAGAGAAATTTTGGATCTATATGTAAAATTTATTGGAAGAATGAGTGATTGACAATGAGTTTGAGAAAAAAAATGAGTTTTTATGTAATGGGACTCAAACATAAGCTTTATGTAGAATCAGCCAAAAAGAAACATAATTTAGCCATTAATATCAGTAGGCACCATGATAAAACATAAAACATTAGAAAGTTGTTCGTTGCCAACAACAACAAATAAAAACAGTACTTGCATCCAACCCGCATCCAAATCACCATATAATACAATATGGTTATATGGACAAATAAAGGAAGTAATTCCTTGCTCACTCCCTCATCAACCTTAGCAACATCCCAAGCATCCCGATTCCCCCCCTAATCAGCCCCAGACCCTTTTCTACATCTACCGAAACAAAGCACCTTATCTTCTTCCAATTCTATCCATATGTCATCTTGGTATGTCTAAAAAAATTGTCCCAACCATCAGTCCTATCATCCTTCTCTTACGGCTCAACAACTGGGATATAGAAATCCTCATTTGGGACAGCATCTTTACTACATTCATTTTCAACCTAGGTGAAATGTGTGTCAGTGTCAATTGGTGGCTCATCACCTTGCAATGGTTGGCATTCCTGTTCGATCTCATCAATAATCATCATGCATTGGCTCTTCCAATTTGTTTTGGCACACCATCCTCATCAAGAACTTCCTCATTCACCTCAACAAATTCATTTTCCAGATCAGCCGGATTGATTCGTAGCAGTTCATCTCCTGTATTCAAATCAGTAATCCCGTTTTGTTTCATTGGGCACTTCTTCACAATGACGAAGAGGAACCTGAACATTGGAATAAGTCCGTAAAGTATTTACAAATTGTGCCTCTTGTACAAAAATCCATAGGCAGCTCAAATCACACTCGCTCTACCATTTTGTCCAATAATGCTTATTCACTAAAATCCCGCAAATATATAGTATTGTAGACAAGTAATAAAGAATAAATAAATATCGTTTCTACAAGGACTGTGTATTCTATTAAATTCTTATTATTACCAACCTTAACAGAAAAAGCAAAATTATGTGGAGATTGATGATTACAAATTTAGATTCTGCAAAGCTTTTAACTAAATTACGAAGCGTTTATGGTGGACCCCAAATCTTCTCCTTAGTTTAGCTCAAGTAATTTCTTATTTGCATCGTACCTTCAACTTTCATAACTTTACACTTTCCTATCTTTCATAATTTGTGTTAATCCTCAAAATAAAGTCTGCGAACCCAAGTTGTTACTGACGAGGTAAAAGGCGACACGCGAGGAGAGGAAAGGAGTGGAAGGCTCTCCTAAAGGTCACTTGCCATTTTATTTAGGGAAAATTGTAATCAAGGTATCAAACCTTTCATTTAGTTGCAGATTTTGCCCAAACCTTTCATTTGTGCCACCTACGGTACCAAACTTTTAAAAAATCCGCACCTAGAATCTGAATGGATGTAAACCGTTAGTTTGACCGTTAATTGGCTCAAAAAATTGACGTTGGCCAATTTTAAAAGGGGTAAAATAGTAATTTTGAATTAAAATAAAACAAAAAGTCAAAAAGTTATCCACCCCTGAAAATTAGCCATCATCACTGTCACCGCCACAGCTACCTAAGACACAGTCTTCGATGACACCAACGCCAATGGTTCTTGTAGAGTTCAAATTCACAATTCAGATGCAAGAAGTCAGTTCTTGTCTTAACCAAAATTCAGCTAAAAATGATGAAGAAAAGTGAGAAGAAGACTCCACACCAATAGACCTTATTAAGAGAGGATTCTAAATATGGCTGAACCAAGAATAGAAATTGTCATTGTCCTTAAGTTTCATAGAGCAGGCATAAAAAAGACCAAGAAATGGAAAATCAACCATTAATGGAGTCTACTTCTCAAGAAATTTGTGTAGAAAATGAGGTTAAATTGAAATCCAAGAAACCCAAGAATTTATCCAAGAGAAACCCAACGGAAATCTGGCCACACCACCCAACGCCAGCACATACACCGGCACCACTCAAGAAACTTATCAAAATTTCAAATACCATTATCAAACCCATCAAGAAAATTCAAAACTCCTCTGTCAAAATTTCCACCACCCAATCGCCCATCATCGTCGTCTCCAGTTTCCAATTCAATTTTTGAAATCGAACAAAAAGGTGAAAATGGATGGCAATCTTCTAGCAATTATTTCATTCATCGCAATTTGCAACTCTTCCCACATCTCAATATTCCTTCACCTGCAAAATTTCAAACTATACTTTGGCTGGTGTACATAGGGTGGAGTAGGGGAACTTTTGGCCGGTGGTGCTGCTGTATTTTAGTGTTTGGTTTTGGGGTAGTGAGGGGAGATTTTGGGTTTGGTTTTTTATATTTTTTTTGTTTTATTTTAATTCAAAATTACTATTTTATCCCTTTTAAAATTGGTCAAAGTCAACTTTTTGAGTCAATTAACGGTCAAATTAATGGTTTTCACCCATTCAGACTCCAGATGCGAAATTTTTTAAAGGTTTGATAATGTAGATGGCACAAATGAAAGGTACAAGCAAAACTAAATGAAAGGTTTGGCACATTGACTGCAATTTTTCCTTTTATTTATCCAAGATGGCTATAGGCTGTAATGGCTATAGGCTGTAAAGAAAAGACACGTGAGCAAAGCATAATTCATAACTGAATCAGTTAAAAAATAGCTAACAAGGAGTCGCCATCTGACATGGTGTAGAAAAGACCAAACTACCTTGGAGCTTGGAAGGAAATCTAAAAATATCCCTTCATTTGAAAAAGAACACATGCAATTCAAATATTTTTTTCTCAAATAGCTATTTCCCCTCTTGTTCTAGTTGAAGTATCAAAACTAGTGAATTTATGAGGTGAAGTCATAGTTACGTGAGATGATTTGTCAATTGTATTTACATTAATATTCGATTGTGATTGTTTTATAAACTCATTTGATTCAATTTGTACCGTCAACAAATTGGCGTCGTTTGTGATTTTATGTGATTTGTTTCATCAATTTTGTGATCAATTGGTGATTTAGGGGAGAAATTCTGGTGATTTGGGAGAGAATTCGGGAATTGGCTTTAGAGAGAGAAATGGGGTGTTTGATTGTAAATGGAGAGAAATAAGAATATTTTATATATGAAATAATTCCTATTTTTAAGGATATGTTTTAGAGTATATTTTATCCTAATTTAGATTACATTATTTCTATATTATATATAATATCATATCACACACACACACACATATCACCTGAATTTTGAAACTATTTTTCAAGATTTTTAGTTATGAAATGTTATCTTATAGTCTAGTAGTTGTGTATTTTTCCCTTAATTCATTGAAAAAATTGAATAATTTCACTGTGTTCATTATTGACAGCACTCTATGCATTGTCGGCCTCACTACTCTTCTTGAGGCGACGCATGCATAGTCATAACCGAAATTTGATGCTATTATGATCATATTGGATGCTATTGATGGTATATTTGTAGTTGATTAAAAATATTGAAATAAGTATTTGATGACATAATTTATTTCTTTTACTTCTACTAGATATTGGGAAGATATTTTAAAAATATCAGTGTTCTAAGCGCATATGCTTCGCATAGGTGTATATGTTCGATGTGTTTTCAAAACGTCTTGCATATGCGGTATGCACATGATAATGTGGTCAACCCATTTCGTTGACCGCAAATGCATGTTTAAACGCCAAAATGCGCACACATTTGCGTTAAAAATTGTATCAAAATTAGTTTAGCAAATTCAAGCCCATTTTTATAACTTAAAAAAGCAATTTGAACCCAACAAATATCAAATTAATCCAAATCTTCAAAACCCGTGATTTATATACAACAATATATAGAGTTTTGAACTTTAAGAAAATCAAAAATCAAAACAAATTTTTTCATAGAGTTGCAAACTATCTACACCAAACCCGAGCCCGAGCCTTCTTATTCGATCTTTCTCTAGTTTTACTAGAAAGTGATGCTAGTATTGACCAATATTGAATTGTTGATGATTGTGATAATGATGAGGAGGTTAATAATGATAATTTACCATCCACTAGAGGTAATAGAAATTTTCAAGTTGAAATAAGGGAGCTCAATGAAGATAATTTTATATCGATGACACAGAAGATGACTTGGTTGAAAATAAGTTTGAATTGGAATCCGATAAAGAGTTAGACAATATTTAGTGTTTTTAAATCGATGTTCGTGTCTAATCTACTTGCAAGAATTGATTAGCAAGCAATTGTACTATTTATGATTTTGAGCATTTTGTTTTTGTTAAAAATTTGAAGAATGTGTATGAAGTTCAAGTAATTATAGTATTTATTGAGAAACGCAAGATTCGACCCTACTACACCTAGAGGAGGGTGATTAGGTATAAATGTGGAATTAAAACTTTAATTAACAAGCAACAAGTCACAAGTTAATTATATCTGAATGATTAGTCAAACAATTCAAATTATCCTATTTTGAATACCGTAGTTTGTATAATAAACAATAAATATGAAAGTAGTAAATAAAGAACACCAATATGATGACAGAGAAATCCAATTGGGAAAAACTCTGTAACCAAGCTAGTACCTCCACTATAGACAATATGGATTACAATATGTTTCCAGCTAGCAAACTTCCATCGTTCCCGTTGTCGTAATTCCTACAATCTCCAAGATCTGATGTTCCTTCCAGACTCACGACCTGCTACCGTAGATACTATCTAGCCAACCCGCTGACTTCCCGATCTACCTCTTGTAGCGTCCTGATTTGCTGTACTTTCCAGTCTCACGATCTGTTACAGTAGGCACTATCTAGCTAACCTGCTAGACTTCCCATTCTACCTCCTGTAGCCTCCCGATCTGCTGTCTCCTTCCGGCTTCCTGCCCTTCTTCTATTGTCTCTTCCAAGTGAAATTCCAAAAATCTTCAATTCTTGTGCTCTTCCTGTACTTGTAGTCCACATCTTCCAAATCTCAATAAAAGAGTCAGTTCCTTAAAAGATTAAGGACGCCGGTGTTTTGGATTATGTAACCTTTGATGTTTTCCAAAATCGGGTTGTTGGATCTCAAGAATGAATATGGATGAATCAGTGAATTGTCTCTTGGATCTCTCAAACAATGATATGAAAGTGTTATATTTATGAAGCACAATGAAGCAACCACCAATTTTCGTGCAAGACCCTTTGTATTTATAGTTAGAGATGTATGAGTAGTATGGGCCATATAAAACTCTCCAAAATCATGAATTAGGTTCGGCCGCACAGGTAGGTTGCTCGACAGAGCTGTCGGCGAAGCTCGAGCGAAAATGTTATTGCATTGGTCGCTCGAGCTAGCCTCTAGCGAATGTCGAGCGAGGGTTAAGCAGTCGTCAGTATTTTCATCATAACTTTCTGTACCAATTTCTGATTGCAATGATTCAAATTTCATTGGTTAGCTAACTCGAAGGGCTACAGTTCTTCTAGAAATAGGCATATTCAAATTCCAATGTTTTCTATGTGAAAAATGCGTTGAAAGTGACGACTAAGAATTTGGAACATAACTTGTACGGCTCTTTGATACTCTTTAGAATTCTAATTGCATTTCCTTTATCATATGCGATCTTTTTGGATATCTTGGACTCCTTCAAGGACTCAAACTCTAACTTACCTAATTTATACAAATTGCACCCTAGGTCCTTGACTTTTACAACACGTTACAAATTAGTCATTTTTTCCACATAATTGTCAACACTAAAAACCTAACAATTTTCAAAGCATAGATGCCTAGTATATATTNATTTTGAGAAATTTATTTATTTATTTATTAATTTTTTAAAAAATTGAAGAATATGTATAAAGTTTAAGCAATGCATTATTTTATTAATTTAGAATATTTAAAATAATATTAAAATTTGAAAAAACAATAATTACGTATATGTTTTGCACAAGCACACATATTCTTGTAATGTTTGATGCTACGAAATGTATTGTCACATATTACGCATTTTAGAACCTTGAAAAATATTATGAATGGAATCGAATTCAAGTCAAACCGAAAATTTATGTTTGTATTTGATTTCATTGATTACATGAACTTAAGGCCCCCTATTTGGTGGCTTTTAATTTGATTTTTTTAAATAGTATTTTTTGGAGAATATATAATTGAAAAGTAGTGTAGAACTTTAAATTAATGTATAAAATATTTTATTACGCGAATGTATAGTTGAAAATAAATATGTGAACTGAATTAAAGTGAAATAAAGTAAATTAAAGGCCACCAAATAAGTGCTAAATTGTTTTATTTATGAAATATCAAAGTGTAACGGATAATTTCGAGTATTGACATATGTATTTTGTTATTTGTACATAAAAAATTTATATAATGAATTATGTAATATAATGTGGAAATGAAATGATTGAATGAAAAAATTAATTTTTTTTAAACCGATAAAAAGTAGAATGCCAAGTCATATTATGTAATTCTTTTTGTAAATTTTAATAGATCTTTGAAATATTACGATCGACTTGGACGTCCAAGCCAGTCTTTCCATCCGGGAAACCCGACTTGAATCGACCCCATAATCCGAAAATCTCGCAAATAGATATACACAGTATATACTATAAGGTATACACGTAAACCCTTTCCACTCCCTTGAGCTTCTTACATTCTAATATTGTCTTCAGTTGACAATGGCGACGTTGGCCGTGCCGGCCCGCCTCCTCCCCCTCACATCCGCCCCCTCCCTCCCCCGTCGTCGTAACTCCACCACCACAACTACCCGCATCCCTACCAATTCCATTATCCAATCCAATCTGCAACCTCTCTCCACCTCATCCCAAAGCCCTAAATCCTCGAAGTCTACGCCTCTACCTTCAAATTTCTTCAATCCCTTTGCCTCCGTCCCCAAATCTCTCGCCCTGACTGCCGCTTCTGGAGTCCTCTTCCACCTAGCATTTCAACACTCCGGCGGAAATTCTAACTTCAATCACGGAAATGGCGGCGGAGGAGGTGGAGGTGGAGGTGGCGGAGGAAATGGAGGGCAAGATGGTAACTTTTGGTCTCGTATATTCTCACCGTTGGCAACTGCGAAGGACGACGAACCCCAACAAGAATGGGATAATCATGGATTACCGGCCAACATTGTGGTCCAGCTCAACAAGCTTAGTGGGTTTAAGAAATATAAGGTGTCTGATATATTGTTTTTGGACCGCCGCCGTGGGTCCTCTGTCGGTACTGAGGACTCCTTCTTCGAGATGGTTTCTCTCCGGCCGGGTGGGATATACACCAAGGCTCAGCTCCAGAAGGAGCTAGAAACTCTAGCTACTTGTGGAATGTTCGAGAAAGTCGACTTGGAGACTAAAACGAACCCGGATGGTACTATTAACATTACCATTCCATTCCAAGAATCCACATGGCAATCTGCAGATAGATTCAGGTGCATTAATGTAGGTCTGATGCCTCAGTCCAAGCCTATTGAAATGGATCCTGACATGACTGATAAGGAGAGATTAGATTACTACAGGAGTCAGGAGAAAGACTACAGGAGGAGGATTGAGCGGGCAAGGCCATGTTTGTTGCCACTGCCAGTGCAGAGGGAGATCTTGCAAATGTTGAGGGAGCAGGGGAAGGTGAGCGCAAGATTACTGCAGAGGATTAGGGACAGAGTGCAGCAGTGGTACCACGAGAACGGGTATGCCTGTGCCCAGGTTGTGAATTTCGGGAATTTGAATACCAAAGAAGTGGTTTGTGAGGTCGTGGAAGGGGATATCACACAGCTTGTCATTCAGTTCCAGGATAAGCTTGGTAATGTGTGTGAAGGGAACACTCAGATGCCTGTGATAAAGAGAGAAATGCCAAAACAGGTTAGAGTCAATTGATTTTGCATTTTCCATCAATTTTTCTCAAGCTACTGTGCTGTCTACTATTCTTACTAGCATTCTAAGTTTTTAATTATAATAGAAGCATTTAAGGATTTTTGTTGTAGTGACTTAATAAATTATCACGTGTGGATGTGAAAATTTTTCAATGTCCATTCTCGATGGGCTTACTGAATTGTTTACGATAACCAAGATTTATCCTTTTTACGTGTTAATGGAATACAGTAAAGGGTGATGTCCTCTGTTCTGATTTTAATATAAGAATTCAATATATTTATAACTGGATATTCTTCTAGATTTTGATGTTTGATTACTTGTGTAGTGTTAGCTGTGATTGTTGTTGAATTGGCATAAATATTAGGTTATGAAATCTAATTATTGTTGTTCCGGTGAGCATGTACGTGGATCGACCTCTGTGGTGAGGTCCCTTCCCGAGGATGTCCACCCTGGACAAAAAATTCATTAAGGGCAGTTAGGAATTTATCTCATTGTATATTTTGTCTTAGAAATTTCAGTACATGTAAATGTGGGTTTTCCACTAATTTGTAGTATAAATAGGGAACCGTCTTTAGGTTTTTAAATATCTATCCATCATAAAAGAGAGAAATAGAGGTTAGAGAAGAGAGGTGTGTGATTTTATCTTATAAACTTCTTTTAATCATGGTGAATTACTGCAGTGGTGGAAGAGAACGTAGTATCACATTGAGACGAACTTTTATAAATCTTGTATGTTTTTATTTATTTATGCTAATTGATCAAATATAATTAGGGTTTCTAATTCTCAACAATAAAAAATATCCATCCTGTTAAAAGGTCTATGCTATGCTTCTCTTTCCAGGGTAGGTATGACTGTGATGCACACTTCATTGTTTGATGACCATTATAAAGAGAAATTGGGGAAAATGATGTTTTGAATAGTGCTTTTTTGGAGAGTGTGTGGTTAAATTGTGAGAAAAAGTTTTAGGTTTACGTGCAAAATATTTTATTGTGTGAATATGTTGTTGAAAATGAGTGAGAAATAAAGTGAGACAAACAGGGGCTTAGTTTGGAATTCTGGCTATTGTTTAGTTTCTAACTTGTAGAGTTATTGAGTTGCAAATTCTGTATGATTATATGGGTATTTGACTAGGTTTATCAAGTTGCAAGTTTCTCATTTATAATGTATACTTGATTCAATTTGGAAAGCTGGCAAGTTTTTAGTTTCTCGTCTATGGAGTTATTCAGTTGCAAATTTTGCATGATAATATGGACATGTGACTAGGTTTATCAAGTTATGATGAGAATGTCATCTTATTGTTATATTGGTTAACAGCTTCGCCAAGGACAAGTATTTAATATAGAGGCTGGGAAGCAAGCATTGAGAAATATAAATTCTCTAGCTCTCTTCTCTAATATTGAGGTAAATCCACGTCCAGATGAGAAGAATGAGGGAGGTATTATTGTTGAAATCAAGCTCAAGGAACTAGAACAGAAGTCGGCTGAAGTTAGTACTGAATGGAGTATTGTTCCAGGACGTGGGGGTCGTCCTACTCTGGTAAATATCGTAAACCCTGTATCTCTGGATTTAAGTGAAGTTCATTATATTTGGTTGTCATCATCTTTTGTTTGTGTATACTGTACAGGCTTCAATCCAGCCAGGTGGAACTGTCTCTTTTGAGCATCGGAATATAAAAGGGTTAAATAGGTCCATTCTTGGTTCAGTGACCACCAGCAACTTCCTCAATCCCCAGGTGATTTAAACCTGGTCTTGATGGAGATATAGTATTGGAACAGTAATATGTGGTTGTTTCATAACAACTTTTGACCGAATATATCTGCAGGATGATCTTGCTTTTAAACTGGAGTATGTCCATCCTTATATAGATGGTGTATACAATCCTCGCAACCGTACCTTCCGTGCTAGCTGCTTCAACAGTAGAAAGCTGAGTCCAGTATTCACTGGTGGGCCTGGAATAGATGAAGTGCCCCCTATATGGGTTGACAGAGCTGGAGTTAAAGCCAACATTACAGAGGTAGGTCACCACAGTGATCTGGTCATTATGGATTTAGCTGAAAGCCATTGTTTATAATATGTTGTCAACAACTGTTTTAGCAACCTTGAAAACTAGGGAATTGAGGAAATATTGCTTTTAAGTTGCTATTTTTGTTAAAAGCCATTGTTTATATTATGTTGTCAACAACTGTTTTATCAACCTTGAGAACTAGGGAATTATGGAAAAATTGCTTTTAAGTTGCTATTTTTGTTAATCTAAGTGACCTTTGTCTTTTCTAGATTTTTCAAGTTACAACTGTCAATAAAAGTGAGAGACAATGTGTTCATTAACAAGTCAGTGGGTTTAATAGAAAACTTGAGTATAGTTGACAAATGCATTTCCTGCAGAATTTCACTCGTCAAAGCAAATTTACTTATGGGGTCGTGATGGAGGAGATAACGACCCGTGATGAAAGCAGTCACATAGCTGCAAATGGTCAAAGAGTGTTGCCAAATGGAGGAGTTAGTGCGGATGGACCACCAACAACACTCAGTGGCACTGGCGTCGACCGTATGGCATTTTTACAAGCCAATATTACCCGTGACAACACAAAATTTGTGAATGGGGCTATAGTTGGTGAGCGAAATGTGTTCCAGGTGAGTAATGGTTTTGTGTTAGCATGTACATACCCTTATATTAAGTGGTGTTTATTCATACTCCCCTGTACAAGGGATTACCTTGTACACTGTCTTGCACGTAAAAGGTATGATGCCTTAAACAATACCCTCCTCCCCTTGATGGGTAAATAATACAATATTAGATTTTCCAGAAAGGCTCCTAATTGAATGACTTTGATCTCTAAGTTTATGCTTTTATGTCTTTACTGCCTGTAATCTACTTTCCATTTAAATGTCAGGGAGATGCTATGATGTTGCATACACAAACCTAAAATCTAGGAAATAGCTTGAAGTTTCAGCTGACCAAAATATGACTGAGTTTTGTCATTCTTTAAATTTTGAGTGCAGCTTGACCAAGGACTTGGCGTTGGAAGCAAGTTCCCGTTCTTTAATCGCCACCAGTTAACAGTAACCCAATTTTTCCAACTGAGGCAAGTAGAGGAAGCTGCTGGCAAGCCTCCACCACCTGTGTTAGTCCTTCATGGCCATTATGGTGGCTGTGTAGGAGATCTTCCCAGCTATGATGCTTTTACTTTGGGGGGACCTTATTCTGTTCGGGGTTACAACATGGGAGAGTTGGGAGCTGCAAGAAATATACTTGAGGTATGCAGTCATTAACAGAAAATGGCAGATAGCCTCGTGCTGCGAGCGCGCACAGAGGCGCGTGTGTTCTATAAGATGGTGAACGTACATGATATTTTTTGAGCCTCATTTTCCTATGAAAGTCGAACTGAGTTTAGTTTTAAATATATGGAACTTTTATGCATTGGTATTTTGTTGTTTGATCAAGAATTAATAACAGGAACCGAGATTTTTCCCACCTTTTCTTGTTCTCTGATCCTCTGATTCTAATGTTATATGCAGTTGGCTGCTGAGCTACGGATACCTATGAGAAATACACATGCTTATTTATTTGCAGAACATGGAAATGATCTTGGGAGTTCAAAGGATGTCAAAGGAAACCCAACAGAGGTTTACCGAAGAATGGGTCATGGTTCTTCATATGGTGTCGGAGTCAAGCTAGGTTTAGTACGAGCAGAGTATGCTGTCGACCATAACTCTGGGACAGGTGCAATATTCTTCAGATTTGGGGAGAGATTCTGAGAAGGGCTAATTTAATTCCTGATTTTTAATTAGCGGTTGATTTGAGATTTACAAGTTTTGAGTCTTCTCCACCGGGTTTCCCAAAGATCAGTGAGATTTTACTTTTTTTTATTTTTATTTTATTTTTTATGAATGATCGAAGTATAGGATGCATTTTTATTTTTGTTTCCCTAGTATGATGAATGAGCAGTAGTTTGTATTTTGAAAAGAATCAAGTGGCACGAGATTTGTGGAAAAAATACTTTTCAAGAGTCAAGTTTGTTTAATTCTTGCAGATATGGAGTTTTACATGAGAAATAATTTACTTGGTCCAAAGACATGTAGTAGGTCCATCCTCTGTTAATGGAAAGACTGCAGATTGATGGGGTTTTTCTCTGTAATATGAATTTCCATAAAGTTGTTGGCGCTAAGGATCTATGGTCGACAGTAAGATATTGATACTCATTGGTAGTGTACTCAATACAAGTTGAGATCTACTGTTCAATTTTTGTTGTTCGTCTAATTAATTATTGACATATTATTTTTAAATTAACATATCATTTCAAATTTACCTTTATTAGCTTCACCATTAATCTACCAAATCGATGACATGTTAATTTAAATAATATATCAATAATTAATTGAATGGACAACAAATTGGACAACATATTTCAATTCACTCAGTACTGGATTCGTAACTAGAAAAATGCCCTAATTGGGGCTAAATCACTACTCTATTAAAAGAG